TTAACATCGCTATAGCGCCTCCGGCAACTGACATTTTAGAGAGGTGTCGCAAGCAACATGTCGACGTGAAGGCAGAACTCTCTGCAACAGAGTTGTCTGACGTCCAAGAGCGGCTAATTGTGCTCACTCAGCAAAGTGAATTTGCAACAGAAAGCAAGGCCTTTAGCAACAAGCTACGATTTCCAGTCTCAAGCATCTCCAATTTAAGCCCCTTTCTCGACAGTCACGGTGTCTTGAGCAAGCGGACGTTTACGAGCGCCTGAGATGCTAAGTTGTGATGAGAAACATCCAAGCATCATTCCAGCAAGGTGTATTTTTTGCAAAACTTCTTGTCCTTTTTACCCATCGCATATCTATACATGGGGGTAATCAGTTAGTGATCCGACTGATTCGTTCCAAGTATTGGATTCCTAAGCTGAGGAATCTTGTAAAGGAAACCATTCACTTTTGTCGAGTGTGCATCATTCACAAAAGGAAGCTGCAGACTCAGCTGATGGGAGATTTGCCCTCTGCGAGATCCACATTTTCCAGACTCGCCTCACACGGGCATTGATTTCGCGGGACCATTTGACATTAAAAGCTATGTCGGTCGAGGTTGCAAGGTAACAAAGGGGTATGTTTGCGTTTTTGTATGCTTTAGTACCCGAGCTATCCATCTAGAAGCTACGTCAGACTTAACCACTGAGAAGTTTCTGGCAGCCTTCTCGCGCTTCTCCGCCCGACGTGGCTGTCCACACCACATACACTCTGAACACGGCAAAACGTTCGTTGGAGCCTCAACGTCCTTATGCAAGGATTTCATTAAAGCCACGAGGGCATTGATACTTTCCAAGTTTAGTCTCCAAAATGTGACCTGGCACTTCAACACGCCCGGCGCACCTCAAATGGGGGGGGCTTTGGGAGGCAGGTGTCAAAAGCTGCAAGACACACTTATACAAGCAGACGGCTGTCGGGAAATACACATTCGAGGAACTAACTACCCTCCTAGCAAAAATTGAGGCCTGTGAAAACTCGAGGCCTATTTCTCCAATGCGTCCACTGACCTTGTAGCTCTCAGCCCCGGGCACTTCTTAGTGGGTGGGACGCTCCGTCTCCCGATGGAGGCCACTGATTCCAAGTGACTCTTCCTTTTGTTCACGCCTCCCAGATTTATCCACTGTCAGACGTTCTTACTAGTCCAGACGTTCTTACTAGTTCATGTCGTTCTCTGGTGTCTGTCCTTTTGCATGTCACAGTCATCTCCATCATCCATAACACATTACCTTTGTTTTTATCTATTCCCACACACAGAGTGTTTACGATGGCACCAACTAGCAACCAACACGCTTACAAGTGCCGCGTTTGCAGAGGAATTCACGCCTTGAGAAAATGCCAACGGTTTCTCCGTCTTCCGGCCCTTAAGTGACTCCGCCTTGTCCTTATTAATCGGTATTGCGCCAACTGCCTTGCTCACGAGCATTCGGGCCAAACCTGCCGAAGTAAGGCCAAGTGCCGCGTCTGCGGTGGAAGGCATCACACCCTCTTGCACATCCAAGAGCCCCAGTCGCCGCGCGCAGCACGACAACAGCAGCAGCAGAGGATGTCGCCGACAATGTCGTCACGCTCAGCGCCCAGTGACCCTGCTACAGTTCCATCGTGCGCTTCTATCCTGCAGCGCACGAGTGTGAGCATCCTTCCAACGGCGTCGGTTTTGGTCGGTTCCAATGTAAAATGGTTTGACGCTCGAGCTTTGGTGGATCCATGCTGCCCCGTGAGTCGCATCCACGTATGTTCATGTCGAACCAGGCTTGGTGCAACATCGCTAGCTTGGAATCACTTGGAGAAATAAAGTGCACAAAGCAGCAAGTGAATTCAACCCCGAAACCGAATTTTTATTAAATACTTGGCAGGACTCAGCACGGCAAGGACCCGCCCCAACAGACACTAAATTTAATAATCTATATCAAATAATAGCATTAATCACATTTATAATAACAATAACTGGCATTATGTTGTATCTTATTTATAAGTTTAAAAATATACCAAACAAAGTAATTGTTGAATTAAATTAATTAAAACCCACAACAGAGACACCGAATAATGAAGAAATTGTTAATAAATGAATTGTACTACAATAAAACATTATTTTATACCCAAAACTATCGCCCTGAGGACAGCCCTAATTCAAAAGTTGGGGGAGTGACATATCCACATCCACACATAAACCCACACACGATATGCATATGCTTACACACCTACACACCCTTTCCACACATTAGATCTTACTCTTGAGTCACCCCTATCAAAAGGAAACAAAACTTGAAACCCAGATATTCTTAACATTTTCTTAACTCAGAAGGCTCTGGGAAATTTCCATTGTTAATGTTAAATCCCAGACTAAACCTTTATTGTCGCGCCGCTGATAAGTTCCAACGGCACGTTCCCACACTTTTGCCATATTCAAATTGCGTCTCCTTTAAACCTGTAAACAAGATAAGACAAAGAACTCTCTTTCACTCACTTAAAATCAAAGCTCACTCAATCGAAATAGAAAGTTCACTCAAAATAAAAATGTCTCACTCAAAAGATCGAAAGCTTTCGGAAACCGAGGCTTGATCCACAAGATAGTTAGATTTAAGAATCAGTTCAGTTCAAGACTTAAAATCAATAGTCGGTGTTCTCAAAAATAAAAATGTTGTAACTAGTGAAAGTTATATAAAAATAAAAAATACATTTTTTGAAAAACAAGAAAGGAAGCAAACTTCGGCAAGCCGAAGATCATACACCCTTGCAGCTATTTCAAAAACTAAATATTCTTGAAAACATTAAAATTATGATTTTCTTGCATATATGTTTAAAAACTTTGAAGCTATGATAACTTGCAGCTTAAATAATCGATAATTTCTATGGCAGCTATATAATATCGTTTTCCGATTTTAATAAAATTAAAAGCCTTATTCTAAACTATAAAATTATAACAAAGTCAAAAAGTAATGAAAAGAATTACAAAATAGAAAAGTTTCATTTTAAAAACAAGAAAGTAAGCAAACTTCGGCTACCCCCAGTTCATATACCCTTGCAGCTATTGCAAAAATTAAATATTTTTGGAAACATTAAAATTATGATTGACTTGGGTGTTTTTACATTGAAGCTATTTGAAGCTTATTTGATAGTTTCTATGGCAGCTTTATGATATCGTTTTCCGATTTTAATAAAATTAAAAGCGCAATTCTGAACTGTCAAATTATTAATTATTCAGAATTTCTAAAAATAGTAAAATTTTGTTTATATCATATGTTGAAAACCACATCTAGCAATAATAAAATCTGTACTTGATGATCAGCTAACAAAGCAAAATGTTAAAAAAAATATTATAAAACGGTACTGACAAACCTGATTTTATAGTATAAAACATGCTTGCAAACAAAGCTAAAAATGTTATTAAACTTCAGCTAAATAAATAACAAGCCTTATTTACTATGAAGTCAGTTGCCACAAACCCGAGTATATATATAAAAATCAATGTATATATAATTCCATCACTCAAAAACCGCCGAACCGAATTTGATGAAACTTTTCGTAAGATATTTGTCTTAGATCATGGATGCTTGATAGCCATTGTACTGTTCGCGACCCACCCACGCACACACCTACGCGTTAACTCTAACTATCGAACCGTTTGACCAACCTTACCCAAATCTTTCACATTAAACACTATGAAGATCCAAAAATTATCAGAACACTGTTTGTATTGACTGTTGTCACAACCCCGCATCCACCCACGCATTTATCGTAAAACAGACTTCAAGTTTTTTCAGTTAAATATAACAGATTAAAATAGAAACAAATTTGAACAAATGTTCATTTCATTTATAAAGTGAAAGTGTTTCTAAAAAGACCATAGAAGTTATTATTTTCAACGTCCAAAATCAAACATAGGTTGACGTAATCGAAATGCTCGGGGCGTGTTGTCACAAAAAATACCACATAGTGCATTGCAACGTTGACAAAATAGATTTGAAGAAGCTCATGCAAGAAATCCATCAAGGTCTACGCAAATACGACGTCGATATGTTCTGTGCTGCATTTAATTATATCGACTATAATGTACATTGATATATTGGAATGATGAATATGATATGCCCACATTGTGAAGCGGCTTAATTTAGAAGAATCGTGTTTTTTACATGGGCAGTTATATGTTGAATGTTCGAGAGTCGGTACTGCACATAGTTTATTCATTCATGCACCGTAAAGTAAAACTTAAAACGTTGTTTATCCAAATGTTTTGGATTAGAATTTAAATTTTTGAGATTTACAATCTATTATATGTGCTTAAGTACTTTAAGTAAAAGGAAACTGTAGAATAAATAAATTTTTTCATGCTTTTGAATGAAAGCGTTACAAAAATTTTATTGAGCGAATAGTTTATATTGGTCTAATGCATCTTCATAATCTTAAGCGAAGCGTGCTTGTTAGCTAGAAATATATACATTATTATACATAATTAAAAATATCAATCAATCAAATATATAAACAAATTAAAATAATGCAATCAAGCAGGAGTCGAACTTGGGCCGTGCTTGCCCAAGACCTACCCAACGCGCTGCGCCACAAACCCCTTGCATTCTATGTGCACAATGCCCCTTTTACTTTTGTTTCTCTTTGTCAACATGATTCTTAAATCGAGTTGACAAAAATTTAAATTCAGAAGACAATTTTTGTTTGACGAAAAATTCAAGGTCATCTTCAGGAATTTCCAAAAATAGAACTCAGTATGTGTAAAGTTCAAATACCTGTGAAGTTTTTTTGTTTTTGGCTTTGCAAAAAAGCAGCAGTATAGAGACATTTTCTTGACATTTTTTCCGTTAATCATCTTAGTGTTATAGAGTCTTTGCCTAGATATTGTGTTTAGAAGATAAGGGCAATCACCGCTGTCCTTCTAACTACGCACCTAGCATGATTCCATGTCCTGCTGGCTAGTGCTCTTGAGTACTTTTATGACTACCAAAAAGACTCACCTGCTGGTTTACAGCAGCAGCGATTTCCTTCCCCATATCCCTATCCAAAGCTCTGTAGAAGCACTCGTCATCGTCATGGCAGTGTTCTAATTCTACGCAGGAATTGGTCATTGTGGAAATTCGCTTAAAAGTGAATGTGTCACAGGTGTGCCCCTCGTCACTGCTCTCATCGACATCCAACAGTGCTGGCTCCTTGTCCAGGGCGTAGGTAGATTTTCGGTGAAGCTGCCGGAAGGCTGAGTCTTCGACGACCAATCGATCAATAACGTGTGGCTTGGCAAACTGACGGTCTTCTATGACCCTTATCCCGCAGGGTTGGTTCGCTTGACTGAAGGTCCTACCTGCAATTTTCTGGATTAAATTGGCACGGACAAACTTGCCCTCGGATATATTGGTCACATGGCGAGCGTGGCTCGACATGTGGATCGTAGCTCTAGTAATAGCATAGCCTATGAGACTAATTCCCAGCAGAAGACCACTCCAAAAGCCTAGGGGATTGACGAACGGCAAAATGTTTAGGTAGAAGTTAAACCGCGAGTCCAGAGAGTCGGGCAGTTTTGACATCATCTGAAAAAACGGTTTTACTGAAAGGCTGATATTGCAACAATTAGGTAAATACGTACGATCTCGAACCATAGCATGGGCACCGTAAGATGACTAAACTTGGAGACTGTCGGAAAATTATATAGGTCTTTGAAGTGCATGTTAATTTGCACTTTAACAGATAGCGAAAGCGGCAGTCCGGATTCCTAAAAAAATAACAATAGATACATTTGTGAACGAGAAAACTTGCAATCTTCGCAAGATTGAAAATTGGACAAATTTCATCTGAATGCGATTAAAATATGGCTGTTGCGTATGTCTTGTTATAATATATGGTATTTGTTTGTGATTTCCTTTTATTGTGATTCGGTTCTACTGTTTTATTTAATTAATTAAATTAAGTCTTGTGGAATAAAAGTAAATTTAATATAAAAATAGTTATATAAAAAACAACTCAATTGTTTAAACCTGTTTTAACAGTGACATAATTGGTCAGAAATGTAAAGGTTAAATAATACTTGCGGGTTCAGAACAAGGCAAACATTTTTAGATTTTATTTTTCGCATTTGGTTAAGCGTACAGTAATTGATTCTAACAATGAAAGTAGCTGGTAACTTATACATACCGGTTGAATGACAAAGGCTGAAGAGTGCTTAGCCGGATCAGGGTTTAGGCCGGAAACGTTTTTTTGCAGCCCCAAGTCACCGTTCATGAAATGTGGAAAGCTCAAGGAGATTGGGAATCCGTAGTAGCAGTCAGTGACGTCAATCAGTCCAACCGGCTGGCAGTCACCTGTTGAGAATGGTGAAAGGTGAGAAAGAGTACACAGAGAAAAAAACACATTTATGAAATACAATCCGTGTTAATTGATGTACGATTTTATAAATTAAATAAAATGCCCGTTTTTAAATCAAGCAAAAATCAGATTTAAATTCAACTCAACATGATTGAATTTCGTAGTCTAGCGGTTCTCAAATTCCGGTTTGTTTATTTCTGATATCCCGTATTTATTCAAAAATTGTAAAAAGAATTATGTTTGTTTTTGTGTTTTTTCGGTTTTCTGAACTTTTCAACTTAACTTTCGCCGGCCTGGCCTCTTTTATTATTTTTTGTTTATTCTTATTTCCCGTGCAATGAGATGCTGTCCGGCAAAGATGTCTTTACATTTTAAGCCATCTCTGGAAATACCTGTTGTAAAAGCAATATTGGCCCCCGTGTGAGTAAGTATTTGGAGTTTGCCAAGGACCAAATCATTAGACCACCGGTCAATAAAGACGAAGTTGTCAAAAAAGTCGCCAACCAAGCCTCTAGGAATGCCAAGGCGATTTCCTTTGATGCCAGAAATTGCCTCGCGGACATCTCGAACCATTTAATCAATGGAAATCAAGATTTTGACGATCCTTTTGATCCTGGAACTTGCTCTTTATCTTTGAATATGACAACTAATGAATCTTTTCCAGCTATGAACCCTTTTTACTCCCAATTGGATTAGTAAGAATGCTGCTGAAATAGAGCGCCTGGTTCAGGTAAATAACATTAGGAGAAGAAGAAATCTGGACGTAAGCGGTGGAAGTATGAATAAGACTTCGCTAATAAAGCCTGTTAGCAATCAAAAACGTCTAAAAGTAGCCGCCTCTGCTATGATTTCTTAGTGCTTTAAATGAAGAACAATAGCTTTGATGTTCTGTCTGATTTTGACGATGATACTATAACTATTGATCCAATCACCATACTTACTCAGGGAAGAACAATAGCTTTGCTGTTCTGTCTGATTTTGACGATGATACAATGACTATTGATCCAATCACCATGCTTTAGTATGGCCATGGCGTATCCAAACCTGTACAACTTAACTTTCCTGCGGTATTCTCAAGCTAAAAATAAAAAACGCGATCCCCGTTCTCTTCCCTTTCTGCTGAGGGGTGTCACTGAATTTCGAAAACTATTTGCTTTACTTTCATCTGTGGTTCTCGCCTCAAGAGGACTGGTTGAACTTCCTGTAAAATTACTGTGGATGACGGAAGTGTTCACTGTGTGGTCCAGAAGCTGTTTAAGGATAATGGAATCCCTTTCAATTTACAAAGAAAGGGCCTTTCGAGTCGTCATCAATATTCTCCATGCTGATAGCTGAAATTACTGCCAGGCTTAAAGCATTAGGGCAAATCCTCACCCCCTGGTGAACTCATAGAAACAAATTCTTAAAATTTAGAAATCTCGCCTTTAAATCGGCTAGTCTTTGAATCAATGACTAAAATTTCTTGATTCAAGAAAATATTGTAATTAAAAATGGAAATCCTTTCTGATTGTAATCTTTTAAGAAAAAAACTTTCTTAATAATAGGAAAAAGACTTAATTTTGTTTTTTTTTTCGGACGACAACAGCAATAAAAATTGTTTAGTTTTTAAAGGTGAATTTGCCTTTGAGTTCCATCACTAACCATACAACATATAGACTGGTCATTTCATACAAGGCATTTGGGCACAAAAAAACGGATCGCGGGAGGTCCCCCGTGCTCACAGCAGCAGGCCCATGCACTTCGTGTGCGTTCGGGTTTTTTGCTCTCTCATTCTTATTCTCATTTTTATGCTCGCGCACTCATTGCACGAGTTCAGTCGTTCAGTCACAGAGAGGCGCTTTTTGAAGAAGGCTGCCCTGCGCTTGAATTCGTCTTTGTATGTATGCGTGATCATGCATTCTCATACACGGGAGCATGTGTGCGTTTATTTCATTTCATATTGCATCAAGAATATTTTATCTTTTGCCACTTTTTAAACTTGGTACCATAAGAATATGGGCGTATTTACTATTGGGTTATGATATAAATATGAATATTATATGTTATAATATATTTTTTTAATATTTCAGCATACATTTTATTTTTGTTTACAAATTCAAATCAGTGGTAGCAGTAAAATGTTTTACGTATATGTAAGTTAACTGTTGCCAAAGTTGTTGACCACAGTTTACGTAAACATCGCGCCGGCCAAACTGCTGACACAGCGTCTGGCCGGATGCTCGTACATAGCCGGCGAACACACTATGAAGTTCAATTATGTTAGCTTTAAGTTTCAGTTCTGATTCGACTTTCGAATTATAAAGTGCCATCGCTCGTAAACCCAAATCCGACCAACAGTCGTTAACTGCGTATAATTTATTCACTGTCTGAGTCCATAGATCAGCAGGTAAGAGGGGCAGTCACCCTTCCAACGTAATCATCCTAATTCAGCATTGGGACACCTTCGGCCAGCCGGCAAGCAATCAACAGCGGACATACCGTTCGCCTGAGAGGAAGAAAAGGAACTTCCTGATACCGACGGCGACTCATCACCCACCGGATTAACAACTAAACTAATTGGCGCTCAACTAGTGGTAACAAATTACCCGACCGAATAAAACTAAAGCTTGGAAATTAAAAGTGACGGCGGCGCGGGAAAAACGTAGCTGCAAAACGACACAAAATGCACAAAACATGTAAATGGGCCCTTCGGCCAAAACTTTTATGTCTTCAATCAAAGTTATCTATATAATTCGAACCACTGTCTCAAGAAAAACAAGCATTTAATTCTGCCGATTTAATTCTTGTAACAAAAAAAAAAAAAAATCAAATAAATAAATAAACGAGTGTGAAGTGAAATTTTAGAAAATCTCAGTATTTAGAATTTTATAATTTATAATTAGACAGCCGCAGTTAAGTTAAAAGGAAATACGACCCCCAAAGTCTTTCGACTTTGTCTTTGTTTATGCAGCGCTTTTGCTTACGTGCACGGGTTTCTGTGCAGTTAAATTCACCTGCCCATGAGTGATCCGTTTCTCCAATATAGGAACAGAAAACAATACTCAAGCGACTCAGAGTCCGAGAGCATAGGGCAAGTCCACGCCTCAACCCCAAAACGCAAGCCCCCCGTCCCTCCTACAGACGTCATGGATCCCGAGCAACTTAGGTCCGTTATACAGGCAGCGGTTAATAATGCCCTAACAGAACAGGCCGTTCATAACCACATAAGAGAGCAGGGGTTAAGACAACAAATCGAGGAGTTGGCTGGCAGGGTGGCAGCAATAAATACTTCACCAGCAACGGCCGCAGAAATAAAAACATACACGGCTATTCAAATAGATGATAATATACAATGAAGCGAACCTTTAGATGCTGTAAAATGCTTGCCCGAATTTGCGGGTGCACAGGAAACATACGTCTCCTGGCGACAGGCGGCCACGGCCGTTTACCATATTTTCAGACGGTATGATGGTAGCTCGCGCCACTACCAGGCAGTAATCATCATTAGAAGTAAGATTAGGGGCCCTGCCGACGCCGTGCTGTCCTCATTCGGCACGGTACTAAATTTCGACGCGATAATAAATCGTCTTGACTTCACGTTCAGTGACAAGCGACCAATGCATGTCATTGAACAAGAGCTGGGAACCCTAAGACAGGGTGGCATGACCCTTCTACAGTATTACGATGAGGTTGAGAAAAAACTCACCTTATTGACAAATAAAGTCAATATGTCGTACGACACGTCAATGGTAACAAATTTGTGTGCCAAATTCCGCGAGGACGCTTTACGCGTGTTCATTTGAGGGCTCAAGCGAAACCTCATCTTCTCGGCAAAGCCGAAAGACATGCCATCGGCTTTGGCCCTGGCACAAGAAGTGGAATCAAACCACGAAAGGTACATTTTCGCAACTACGTTTGCAAGAAGCCAGGAGGACAAAGATCGTCGGCAAAATCCAAAGTCACAAGATCGTCAACAGACAAGCCCTTCCCGCAGCCTAATCAGCAGTTTGGTGCCGGTAAAAACCCGCACTTTAGCAAACCACATAAGGCCCAAGTGCATTCTGCACCGCAAAATAATACTCCGGAGCCAATGGTTGTTGACTCATCCATTTCTAAATTTGTACAACCGACCCAAGCACAGGCTTACCAAAACGGGAAACCGGCTACGTGCGGCCGTTCAGGCCCTATTAAAAGACAAAGAGTAAATCATCTCGCTCAAAGCGGCGAACAGGCCGACAAAAATTATTCTAGCGCAGCCTCCAGTGCAGCGGCAAAAATTGATGACGATACCATTGAAGATTATGATTCGGAGGCACTACCATATAACACTTCGGTAGTAGCCACAATAAGAACAATGGATGAGGAACCTATTTATGCAAAACTGTATCCGTACCCATGGGGGCGGCCGATTTTGTTAACAAGGAAATCCAAAATCTATTGGGCAACGGCATAATCCAAAAATCAGTGTCTCCGTACAACAACCCAATATGGGTAGTGGACAAGAAGGGCACTGATAAAATGGGCAACAAAAACATGCGACTAGTAATTGACTTTCGCAAGCTAAATGATAGAACGGTACCTGACAAGTACCCCATGCCAAATATCTCCATGATATTGGGAAACCTAGGCAAGGCCAAATATTTTACAACTTTGGACCTTAAGTCAGGATACCACCAGATCATGCTTGCAGAGCGTGATCGCGAAAAAACTTCCTTTTCGGTAAACGGAGGGAAATATTAATTTCGCTGACTCCCTTTTGGTCTGAAGAATGCTGCTAGCATTTTTCAAAGGACAATCGACGACATTTTGCGAGAGCAAATCGGCAAATTTTGTCACGTATACGTGGATGATGTGATTATTTTTTTTTTTTTTAAATGAAGAATCACATGTCACACACGTAGATTGGGTTCTAAAGAACCTCTACGAATTAAACATGTCTGTAGAAAAATCGCACTTCTTTAAAAAAAGCGTAAGCTTCTTGGGATTCATAGTTACCAGCAATGGTGCAACAACTGAC